ACCACCCATCTCGCCATCTTTGAGGGTTACCCGTAAGGTTCAGCGCACCCAAAATCAAGGGCGCCCTGAGCTCCCCTAATTTCCGCTGCATGGTCTAACCAGAGTACCGTCAAAACTCAGACTCGTCTTTGCGCCTAAGTCCCAAATCCGTAGATTTCAGGCGGCGCACTGCTTGTGGCCGCCTGACAGTTAACCCGGACCACTTCTCGACGCYCCCGTCGAGCCCTAGCAACTTACGTCAGACGAAGCGGACGAGCTTCAGGGTGATGACCCGTAAAGGACGCCCACGTCGGCGTTCAATTGTCTTATGTTTCAGTTTGTTATGAGTCCTGGGGCTAAGAAGATACTTCTTGACTCTCCTGTTTCTTCTGGTTTTTGTCCCCGGCACGATCCTTTTTTTCTTCTGTCGCCCCGAGAAGGGTGCCGACCCGCCAGTACGTCTAACGCGAACTCTCCGTCTAGCTCGCTTGAGCACGAATAACCATCTCTTCTCTCTTCCTAAAGCTAACCCTTTGACCTTTCTCTTCTCTATTCTTTTCCTTTTCTTGGAACTCTCCCCTTCCTCGAATTGCCTCAAGGGGGCTCCATCCTCCATTATGGCTTTTCCTTTCCCTTTCGGGCTGGTCAGCGATAAGGCGGGCGCGGGCCTGGGCCTAAACAGCTTTAACCTAGCACCCGCCACTGGGTCCTTCCACTTGGATCCGTCTAATTCTGCTATCATATATGCACCTCAGTCGAGTGCCTCAACCACTCTGTAAGGTCCCATCCATTTGTCGGCGAGTTTTCCGGTCCAGGTTCTTTCCAGCGCTGCATCGTAGAGAAGGACCATATCTCCTACACTCACCCTCTCCTTCCTGATTCTCACGTTCTTATCCCATCTCTCTTTACCTTTGTCTCTTTCCACTGCCAGACGATCTGTCGCTGTCATAAGGTTATCTTCCAAACCGTAGGCTATCTGTCTTGTTCGGGCAGCTACGAGTTCCTCTCTGGATATCTCCTCCGCCCAGTCGACGGTTGTCCAGCTGTCGACGTGAAACTCTATGGGAAGCGGACAATGCCGCCCAAACCACAGGGTGTATGGAGGGTATCCCGTGCTAGCCCGGACCGTGACGTTGTCCGCCCAAATTGCGTATCGAAAATATCGTGGCCAATCACTGTCCTTGCCTTTGCACCACTTAGATAGCGACGCTATCAGGGTCTGGTGCCCTCTCTCTACTGGGGAGTTCGACTGTGGGTGGTAGGCAGTGGCTATCGAAACTCTCGCCCCAGCTCTCTTGAATACATTCTGAACCTCGTCAGCCAGGAATTCCGCTCCTCTGTCCATCACTATCTTGCTGACACAACCATACCTAGATAAGTACTCTAGGACGAAGTTCTTCACTTCCCTTGCCGTCTTACTCCTGATAGGTCCACCGTCCACGAACCCCGTGAAGTCATCTCGTATGTTCACAACATAGTTCAAATTGCCTACCCCTTTCGGCATCTTCACCAGATCGATGTGTACCTTCTCTCCTGGTCGGGTTGGATAGGATGTATGAAGTGGCTCTTTGTATTTCACAAGAGCTCTCTTCTGGCATTCTTCGCAGGTCATACAATATCTCTCGACGTCCTTATACTGTCCTTCCCACCAGTACAGCCTGCGTACCTTTTCGTAGGTCCTTCTGACTCCTCTATGTCCTCCGACCACCCCGTCGTGAAGCTCTGCTACTATCGTCTGTCTCTCTTCAGGATCACAGACTACTCGTAAGGGCATCCCTGACGCTACTGGCCTTCGGAAAAGGTGGCCTTGCTTCTCTCCGGATATCTAAATCTTGACTCTCCTCTCCCGTCAGGTGTAGTCTGATCGTTCGTTACTTGCCCTCATAAAGATTAACTAGAAATCTCTCGGCGCGTCTCGGCTCTGCCATTGTCAGGGTTCCAGCTACTATCGGGCGCTCGCCCTCAAGAGTGATCCGAGAGAGCCCATCCGCTACGACATTTTTAGTGGCAGATATCCTCTCCACGGTGTAATCATATAACCGAATCCGTATTAACCATCGTGCAATGGTCGGGTCTGTCAGGCTAAAGTCCTTCTGGAGGACAGAGGCGACCGCGGTGGGATCCACTTTCAAGATGAACCGTCGTCCATAGATATAATGTCTGAACGTGTCTAGACACCGCAGAACAGCTAATACTTCCTTCTTGAATTGACTGTAGTTTCGCTCTGTCGTATTAAGTGTCCTACTTTCAAATCTTAATGGTATTTATTTCCCTTCAGCGTCCTTCTGAGACAGCAACCCTCCTACCGAACAAGGCCCAGCATCCGTGACTACTATGAAGGGTCTCACAGCCTCATCATCAAAGTACGGCACGCCCAGTACGCGTCCTCCCTCCTTAAATTCATCTTTAAGCTCTTGCATTACGAGTTCCTGCGAGGAATCCCAGTAGAATTTCTCAGTTTTTCAAAGGAGTAGTCTCAATGGCTCAGCCTTCTCTGCATACCCTCGTATGAATATTCGCCAGTAACCGACCACTCCCAGAAACTGCCGGACCTCAGTTGGACTATGTAATGGTGACGGGCAGTTCAGGAGTTTGTCTAACTTCGTCGGATCTGCTCGGCGTCCCCTCGAGTTACAGATAAAGCCCAAGATCTTAATAGTCGAGACGGCCCATCGACTCTTTGTTCCGCTGACTGTTAGATTCGCATCGTCCAGCTGCTCGAGTACCGCGCAAATATCCGTTAGGTGCTGCTCGACGAATCTTCTAACTCCAGGTGCAACCTCTGCCTCATCCTTGTTTACTAGTCCTTTTATAGGAAAGTCATCCAGAAAAACTTCAGCCTTATCAGGGATGAAGTCCTTGAGAACGGCTACCATGGCTCTCTGAAAAATGGCTACCCCATTAGTCCAACCCATAGGGACAACCATCATCTGTATCAGTCCCAATGGCGTATGCATAGCCGTGAGGTGCCTGTCTCTAGGGTCAAGCGGTACCTCATCATAACCTGAGCACAGATCACAGACCGAATAAATTGACCTACCTGCGGCGCCTTCTGCCAGTAAATCGGCGTGTGGCACGGAGCCCACGTCTCGTATCGTCACCGCGTTGACCTTCTGAAGGTCCTGGATCCATCGGATCTTGCCATTCGGCTTTCGTAGGAAGAACCATCGATTAGCATAAGCGCTATCAGACGACTCCGCAACGTGGGAAACCATCTTTTCTTTCAGGAAAGCGATAACTTCTTCCTTCTCCTTCTGGGCGTATTTCCATCCCGCATCATTCCAGGGAACATGTGGTATCGTGTAAATCCTTGCTGGCTTAGCGTATCGAGGGTCAACCCTACCGCGCTCCTCGTCACTAAAGGCTATGGCCTTATCACATGTCTTCAGGATTTCTATCACACGTTCTCGCTCCTGTGGAGTCAAATTCCCATCTCCGATGTCCATCCCTGCTATCCTCTCTTCCGTTAGGTGTTGCGGCCCCTTTCTCTTTCTTTCTTTGATTTCTTTCGCGATCTCTTCTTCCGATATCCCTTCCAGTGCAGATCGCTCGTGGCCCACCGCCGCTGGCTTAACGTTTTGAGCTACTCCCTTGTGTCGCTTGGGTAGACCCCCATAAGGGGCCGTGCCCTTAAAAAAGACACGGATACCACACTGCCAAATTCCTCATCTTTTTCCTTTGGGTATGAGTCCCTAAATCTTCCACCTCCACGATCCGACCTTCTTCCTCTGTGAGCAGTGGTCCATATTTCTTCTCGTGAAATCGCACCGCGCGGCCGGAGATAGGTAACGACTTAATCTGATCACT